AAAAAAAAAAAAAAAAAAAAAAAAAAAAAAAAAAAAACAAAACAAAACACCCACATACACACTCACAAAAAAACCGGGGGGGGGGGAAGAAGATATAAAAATTATACTTTTTTGAAGTTGTTACAGCAAGCAAATGGAAAGGACATTCTTGGGTGGGAGGGGAGAGAGGGAGGAGGGAGGGAGGTGTCGGTGATGGGCCATAATAATCTAATACATTGCATATTTACAAAATAAAAATTTAACGAAAAAAAAAAAAGAAAAAAAGAGAAAAAATAGCTGGAAATAAAAACAACAAGTTAGAGTAATGTAGGAATTAATTAAATTAATTAATTAATCATACAAGTACTTAACAGAATTTCTTCTTTGTGCCTAACATTGCCCATGAGAGGGGTGCAGACCCGATCATCTGGAATTGATAATCTAATGGAAAGATAAGACACAACAGAAAAATTAAATAAACTTGTAGGGAATATGTGATTAAATTCCAGTCTGTTGGTAATGACAATAAGTACTACACCGTACCTAAGAGAAATATACAAAATAAGCTATCTAAAAGATGTGAAATGAGAGAGACTTTTTTTCTCTGTAGGCTTCAATACCTGGTGGTGGGTTTTCAGTTTATATATATATATATATATATATACGTACATATATATATAAATATAACCACGCTCTCCCAAGTAAGCTAACCGGCCATCCCTATATAGGGATCCAAACCCGTGGCCTTGGTGCTATCAGCACTGCACTCTCCCAAGTGAGCCACCGGCCGGCTCATCAGTTTATATGTTTGATAAGACCCAAATCAGAAGCATGTTTCCTGGGTTGTCAACTTTTTGTTTTTACAATCTACACTTTGTAGAACATTGTTTAGAAAGTTATATATTGAGAAGTGAGCTGAGATTGTTTCAAAAGATTTCCAAAATTTAAAATGTGTAGGTTGTAATTTTAAAAATTTAGATTGAATTTTGTTTATCTTGATTTTCTCCCTCAAAACAGAAGGTAGTGTGAGGTCCTTCTAGATATACTGGTCTGGAGGACTGTTAGTGAGTGATAGGGCTAAGATCCAGAAAGTCTTTGGAGATTGTCTCATTGTTTTAACCTGTGGGCTTTCATGAGCTTATTGACAAGTAGTCAGACACTGTGGCCTTCTCTAGGCATTTCTAGTTACCCTTTCTAATTTTCTTACCTCTGCTAGGGTATGGTAACAACCTGAAATGTGTAAAGTAATTTGTGAGGCTTATTTCAAATAATGAATGATTAACTTTTTCCACACATTAGGGAGCTTATCTCAGAAAGACAGTACAGTCACACATTACAAAGATGAAATGTGAAAAAAGATGAAATGTGATGAAAAATTGCACATATCTAAAATCCAAATTTTTTTTTATGTCTTGGTAGAAAAAAAGGTACAAGATAATTGCTCTAGTATGTGGACAGAGCTATTTCTCTCTGGTCTCATCTTTCCTTATTAGGAAACAGAAGTCTTTTTTTTTTGTCTGGGTCTCAAATCCACTTTTTGGTGGCTGGTCAAAATTACTTTCCTTTCAGCCACTTGATTGCCTATTCAATTTAGCCTTCTCTCCTCAGGGCACCTAGCCCTTATCGTTAGAAAATCACCAAAGTTGTCCTTGATGTTTAACACTACCATCCAATTCTAATAACTTCTTACTGTTGTTTTTTTTTCCCTCCTGAAGTTCTCCAGCTTTCTTTACAAGTTTGCCTCTTTATTTTCACTCTCTGTGGTTTTTCCTTTTGGCTCCTCATCTGAGAATCAACTTCTGGTCCACTGTCTCAAATAAATACTAGCATATCTAGTAATCAACTAATTATTTTAATCCCTCCAGCCTCAGGTACCTTGGGATTTCTCAAATTGCCTTTGATTTGGGGAAAGAATTTTAAAAAATGTTTCTACTGCAATTATTTAATGATTCAAATTCGTAGAAACTTTAACTTCAGAGGAGAAAATAGCCTCAACATAAGTCTAATTAAGCTTCCTGTACCCCAGTGAAGTAGTGAGAATAAGTGCACGGGGAGGCTGCAATCATTTCCTCTGAAGCCCGATTAAAAACTAAGTTTTAAAATGTTCGACCAGTGTTAATCTGCGTGACTGCTTCACATTTCATTTGAGAAAGATTTATGTGCTAACATTATCACTAAAATATGTGAATCTATTTCCATAATCAGAGCCCTATGGGATGGAGCATAGATTTAATGTGGCTTTGGTGCTTACGTGTTTTCCAGTACATCGATTAATACCGTCCTCTCAAGAGGAACACAATCAGAGACAACCTGCCAGAGGACTGTTTTCTGTAAATTTCAGCTGAACTAGTATCGGTGGAAATCTTAAGACCAAAGAATTGATGAATATACTACAATTAAGCTTTCATTGTGAATTGAAGAATGCAGCAAAGGATAATGAACATACTGAAATGATTCCACATGTTTTATGCATCACATATTTGTAATTAAAACAGATCCTGAAGGTAAGTTTGTGTCTTCTGATGTAATGATTGCAAAAAGCAGAGGGTGTTATTAAATATCTACAGGGCAAGTTTCTCAAGTGAAGCATGTGAAAATTTATCTTGTTTCACTTCCTCAACAGTTTCTTATCAGAAACCAGAGATTTGGTGCAGCAGCAAACCACACTTCTTAGGAGATTTGTTTATATTGATCAAATTTATGCGTAGTGTATAAATCTATCAGTTCATCCCCAATGTGTAAATTTCTAACAATGTTTAGTAAGTAGATTTAATTTCAACTGCTCAACTAAATATTAATGTTTGCTAGAGCCCCTCAGTCTTACAAAGATCCTGTAAGATCTTTAACAATTCAGCAATTATTGTCCATAGCAGCTCAAGGTTGCATGACTGTTGCAGCCAGGGCCACCTCAGGACTAACTAATAATAATAATTTGCAAAATATATCAACTCCATTGCAGTTTATGAAATATTGTTACAATCTGTTTTATCATTTGATCTTCTGTGATTCTGTGAGATAGGAGGAGTACATATTCACATTAAGGAATGAAAAGTATTTCAAATCTTTGGATAATATGGCCATATAAAACCTATTTCAGTTCCTCAAAGAATGTACCTTGCTCTCTTGCTTCTTGGCCTTTGAACATATAGTTTCCCTGCCATAAATCTCCATCTCTGCCATTCTCCTGTGTTTGGCCAACTTCTCATTTTACAGGTCTCAGCTTAATTGACCCTTCCTTCTGGAAACTTCTCTGACCTCTCAAGTATGGGTTAAGTGCTCTCTTAAGTGCTGCCAGAACAAGTCAGACTTCACGACATGCATTGCTGTTTTCTCACTGCCTGCTTACTTGTCTCTTTTCCTGACTAGACCATAAATTCCCAAAGGCTACAATCCATTTCTCTTTTATGTATTATTTTATTCCCAGGTACATGGTAGACTTCAAGAAATAGTTTTTGAATGAATAAATGCGTGAATACATTTATTTAAGTTACAATTGCTTTAAATACTGTTATGATTTTGATAAAAAAAGTAATTGTGGTTTAAGTTACAGATTAAATAATTTTTAAAAGTTTCTAAAAATATATTTTTTAATGACGTTATGCACCCTAATCCCCTGCAATGAATTAACTTATTTACTTATGTACTAGCAAGTCCACTCTGAAAAATCAAACTGATGCTTATGCTATTTATAATATTTATAAGTATTGATTTACTAGATAGTCTATTTTATGCAGTGTTTTCTAAAGTATACTCTTCTGCTATGTTGGCTACTTACAATATTATGCTTTATAATAAAGCATCAAAATATTATATTGCAGATTTAATGATGAAAATTGATATTTATTTTGGTATCTGTGGTATTAATAGTTTAATACCCAATAGTATAGAAAAATCCAATGATCCAGTAGAGTATCAGTCTGGACCTTGTTGGATTATTGGACTTTTAATGAAATTGGTTAAGGGCAAGCAGCTAGTAGGTGGCAGATTGGCAGGTCAGTCAATCTGGTCAGCCTAGGTCATTTCACTGTTTTATACAGTTTTCCTGTTCTAATATGGTTCCTTAGAGAGGGTGTTGAATAACTGTGCTGATGAATAAAGACACAAGAGAAAGGATACTATTTTGAGAGAGCAAAGTACAATACTCTAACATATGATATAAAACAAGTAAATTATATAAATTTTTCATAGTTATGAGAACGTGATTCTTAGATAGCTGGTTGTTCTTTATTCTTTTAAAGTGGTGTCTTGATAGTACTTCCTTTCAATTGGTTTATTACATTATTGGTAAAATCATAAATTTTGGGGCCGGCCCGGTGGCGCACTGCTATAGTGCGCCGCTTGGGAAGCGCGGTGGCGCTCCCGCCGAGGGTTCGGATCCCGCATGCAGACCGGCTG